GTGATCGATGAAATAATGAGACGAACGCTGAAGGGTCTCCAAAACTCTGGTGTTCAAATAGCCAGTGAAGAAAACCTTGTCGATCTGGAATATGCAGACGACATCGTCCTCATGTTCGCAGAGAAGGACAAGGCGCAGGTGTTTTTGGATGAACTGACCAAAGTCATCCCGTCCTTTGGTATGCACTTTGCATCCACAAAGTGTAAGGTCATGCTTGTGGACGTGCAGTCACTGAACACGCCACTTACGATCCAGGGAGAGGCACTGGATATTGTGGAGCGTTTTACGTATCTTGGAAGTTGTATTAGTTCTGACTGTAGTGTGACAGATGAGGTGAATGCACGAATCTGCAAGGCTCGGGCCGCGTCTGCTAACTTGAGACACCTATGGCGTCAGAATGTTTTATCCCTGAATCTCAAGAGACGTGTACCAAGCTACAGTACGGGCTGTTTTGTTGTATGGCTGTGAGACTTGGCCTATTCGAGCAGCGGACTTGAGACGCCTGAAATCAAGGGATGACAGGATGTCAAGTTAAGATTAATCAGGAGCTTCATATCAGAGGCCTAACGCAACTAGACCCATAGTCTTCATATATCTACCGTGACATCATATAAAACGCCAAAATCTTTCGAAATGGGAAAGGTGCGATAGCTGTTATCAAAATCTGTGATTCCGCTTAATTCGCTATTCCCGGTACGCAAACCACTTCAAACAAATTTCTCTGGAGTAGCCGGGTGCCTAGATGGTTGGCGATACTTCTTCTTTCACTTTCACTCAGTTATCACTGTGCAGTACCGCCTTACATACCTTGCGATGAAGGAGTCTTTCTGAAGCTGCTGGAAATTCATTACTGTTTGTCATTTTGGTAGTTCGGTCATTTAGCCACATGCTCAACCTTGCTTCCCCATTTCACCTAAATGACATCCCGGCGTAATGAATCTCCTCGTGTCGTCACTAGATTGTTTCCAGCAATCTGTTGGCCATGTTTAGGAGCGCGCAAAACCCCAAAAACCAAATAGTTCAAATGGGGGCTCATCTGCAAATGCGGCATTATAAATAGCATAATAATTAAAGCTACACCAACCCTGAACGGTGGAACTATGCTGGCTTGTGCACACCGCCTTTGGAACGGATCCCAAAGTGCACACCGACTCAAAGCAACGTGTTTACAGGGCAGCGAAACCACGTGTTGACTTAAATAACGTGTGCAATGACAAGGTCAAAGAATGGTTCACGTTCAGGTCAAAAACAAGAAAGGTGGTATAGGGGCAAAACCGAAATAACAAAGACGGGTAGTCGCGTTTTCCAACATAAGAATCGATTAAAGGAATAAACAGTCATGTAGTTTCTTCAACAGTCTATTCACTAGCACACTTGGTGTGTGACAGTGGCCAGAAAACGATGATACTGATGTCGGGTGGGAAACCACGCAGTTTGGAAATGGTGTTTTTTTGATATTCTACAGGCTTTTTTGGGCAGCTGTTTTCGTGTTTATATTGGTCTCCAAAACGGTTCCCGAAAGGCCTTAAATTAGTCACTTCAGGGTTATTCCCACGACCCTAACCGTAGTCGTCTTTGCTGGTCCATGCTTTGGCCCGAGACTAAAGGAGTTAGCAGCGGACCCTGACCATCTTGGGTCTCCACGGTAGCGGTGCTGTCACGGCGACGCACGGACCGACTTTTTGCCGCCATAGTTACATACATGCTTGTCTGTCTGAAGCCGGCTTTTCATTGGCGCACAGGCGATCGATGTTGACGCGACCTTGTATGTGATTGGTCCAAGCGTGCCGTTAGTAGATTAGCGTGGATTGGCGGGCAGGCGCAACGAGAGATGCGTGCGCAATCCGTGCCTGCGAGCCAGGCTGCTGACCAACCCTTGCTTATATGCTGGAAAGCGACCCAACTATGTATTATTGCTTGTGCTTATTTAGTAAACAGCTTGTGCGTTTCGATAGTAACTGATACCAAATTTGGAGAACAAAACCCGTTTTGAATGTCCCTTGTCAGCCGCTTGAAACAACTCAAAAATCGAATTTCTTCCATTTCGAAGCCCAACGCAGATGGTGCCAATGACTTGAAATCAGAAGTGGTTTCTACTACCCTCTGTGCTTCTCCTGGATCGGGGCGCGGTTCCTGCACCGGTGATGAACAGTCTGTTGGGTAGGTGTTTTGTGACCAGTATTATTGTCTGTCATTATTTTATCGAAGCCTGTGTGAAGCATTGTTTAGCCATATTTCGTTGATTTGACATATGGATTTCCTTAATAGTTTGTTGTAGGAGAAGACCAGTCACATACAGATTGCAAATCTATTTGGTATAACAATCCTTGAGCGAACTACGCCAGTATGGATTTGCCTACTCAGCGTCCAAACGAATTTGTGAGGCCTCAGCTCTGATGTTCGTCATCGTGCGCTTACTAAAGGTCTCTTAATTTTAAATTTGACGAGTCCATTGGACCGTTTTCGGCATCATGCTCGCTGATGAACCCTAGTGCTCATGACACTTCCACAGGGAATCATTTGGCGGCGAGTGTACTAGGTGAGACTATATTTAAGACCCTTAGGTAGAGATGTTATGTAGTCCTCACATATTTCATCTAGTTCGAGTGTGGCCTTTTCCAAAGTCCACCTGACTGCGCAGGCATGCTATTAGGTTGGTTCACTATACCGGGTGACACTTGCTAGGGTACGCCAAAGTCCAAAAGCAAAAAAGGTGCCTCAAGAAAAGCATAGGCTTAACATAATTTGTATAATACTGGTATTTCCCACCTCGGTGGGATTACGCCTGAGTTTTCTGTTTAACCAGTGAGCAGAAATCCAATGTCGTTAGATTTCATCTTCTATTCAATGGGAGCCTCTAATCAAGCAATACTTCGAAGTATGAGGCCTTTTATGTGCTCCCGAACGATGTTTCTTGCAAAGAGGACATAATTTGTTAGCATTGTTTCGGATGTATTTGGGTGTATGAGAAGCTTTCCACAAGCCTGCCTACAGATGAATGTCCATAAGTATATTTACTATATGTTCGTCACTATCATTACTAATAATACTGCACTTATTAATCTCACTTCGTATACCTGCTTTAGACTCATGCTTCCTAATGGTGGAATCAGTTGACGGGGGTCAATTCGATCACGTGGCCTATCCTGAATGATTTCGTTCACGAAATTCCTTAGTTGTGGTGGCAATCTTGCAGCACGATCGGTACGAATAGGTGGTCTTTGAGCGTATTACCAATGCTCCACCTTTGGTTGCTCAGCCTTATTTCGCTAGTGCTCTGAATGTTGGTTGCTGGGGTAACGAGTGATCAACATCCAGGTGCTGCTCAACTCTACCTGTTTGCATTGGCATGGCAACAATCCCATTACATTTTCAGAATTTCTGACTTCTATCCTTTGCTAAGTTAGACAGGCATACGTGACATTTTTTCTAGAGTTCAGGATTAGTGGCGTATGTCACTGGCAGCGTTCGTTTTGAATCGTTGGAGGCAATTCCGCTAACTACCTTTCAGTGCAGTACTTACTGTCGTTGCCTCGGAAGCTTTCGGGACGTGTTTGAAACTGATACAGTTGTGTAATTTGACAGTTGTGAAGCAGCCTTTGCTGAGGAACCTTGTCCTCAAACCCGTATGTCTAACTGTCACTTAAAAACATCCGTTCTCTTGTGGTGGAACTCATATTGGAACGGTTTAGCGTCACTCCGTTGTCGCGTTGAAGGTTGAAAGACGTTTGACAAGCGACAAAAATCTACAACTTGTTGTGGGTCATGTTTGGGAAACAAAGAGCCTGGATTGGATGCCGCGCATAATTTGCAAGCTCGATCAAGACGAGTAGGGGTTTGATAGAAGTCGAATTGCAGGAATCAGCATACTTGTGATCGAAATTTTTTCAAACAAAAGTGCGCAACGAAACCCTCCAGTATTCATGAGCTTTCGTGTTGATTTGGCTTGTACGCCAAACAGGGTTACTCACAGAAGGATATGTATTGCCACTTTTCGTTTCCAGCATAGCAACGTTTGCCCTGTGTTACAACAGCACCAGTTGGACTTCTAAGTTCCTCTGTGTGGCGAACGGGAACGCTCATTGGATAAGCATTTAAGGGTCTAATCTTCACGTTTAGGGAACTGTCTCGACAATGTTTGTAGTAGGGTTCACCGCGTAAAGTCTGACGCGAATAGCAGCCTATAGGCTTGCTGAAACCACCAGAATTTCTGTTGGTTTCGTTCGAAAAAAAGAACTAGTTTTGTCAAAGTGACATGTTTTTTAAGCTATCACGGATAACCACATAGGATAAGTACACTGAATTAGATCACTGCTTTCATGGAGAAGTTATTTCCGGCCTCTGTGGGTTACATGTGCGATTAGACGGAACATTAGTAGAGAGTAGGATATTGCACACCATTTTATAGGATTTTGAGCATGAAGACAGCAACTGCCATGTTAAATCTGGTGTGATAGAACGTTCCCAGTTTTTAACAACAGTATTCCTCAAGGTCCAATTACGAATTTGGTAGTCTGATATAGACGACGAATAAGGATGGGGTATGTGTGTAGCCAGTGTCGTTTCTTCAGCATAGATGGAGTTCATCTGTTAAGTGCGATCTCCATCACATGACTGTTTAATCTAAAGTCAACACTACTGATCAACCCTTGAATTTGAACTTTACTTTTGAGCTACCGAGACTTGATCAGCCGCATGGTTATTCGCATTCGTTCCCCTACCCGCAGACTATTCGTTGCTTGTTTTTTTTTCGCCCATTGGAGTACATTGGAATGCATAGGCATTTGGACAGCGGTCTTTTTTATTTAGATGATCCAACTGTCCTTGGTGGTACGCCTAGCTTGCAGCAAACTGTTGTTCCCTTTCTGCTAACATGCTCGGTTCGCGCCACAGGAAAGCACCAGTGTTATATTTGGGACTGCCTTCGGATGTTGTTAGAGCTAGTGTTAGTTTCATCGCTAACTAGATCGAGCGGATTCGGTTAGGTGATTCCATTAGCTAATTAGGTATATTTTCGCCTGCTGTCACCAGAATTTCTCGTCTGGTTTAAGTCATCCCAACAATACTGAGGTAATTCAGTATATTAGGTTGGTCGGATTCGGAGCATTGGTAGTCATTAGGTGATTGAATCGCAGTTCAGGTCAATGTCGAGCGTTTCAACTTTGTCTCTAATTGCTGTCAACCTAGGTGTGCGCGAGTGTGATATTTTTTACAGATTTGCTCTTGAACGTTGTGTGCACAATAATGAGACGATAAAAGTACAATACACTGTTGCAAGTCACATATCTCTGCATCATTTACCCTCGAGCATTATCGAAGTGACCTATGTTCTGCCTCTTTTACGGCTTAATTACTATGTGTTTGAGGTGTCCATCAACCCACCTTGTCAATAAACAGTCTTGAGCTCAGAAAACTGTGAGAGTCTTCCTGTAAGTTGTTCCTAAAGTCTGGTTAGTTATGCGGATAGCGATTGAGTTAATCGAGAAACAGCCATTTCCTCAGGAATCGTCGAAGTGGCCTTGTATCCCAGTGATAGGTGAGTGGACTGGAAAGTGCACACAGCCACACACATCGATTAACACGGTTCAGCATTCTAGACACGAAGTGTATTCGCCACCCATAAAATGGGTTTCCTCGACTATGTGAATAGAGACACTTGCTTTTCGAGGCGTCAAATCTACCCAGGCTCCTGGGAATGTCGGAAGTGGTCGTGCCAATTGAGGTAAATTTATTTGCGATTGCTTACCAAATCTTGGACATATTTGCCCTGCCCATTTGCTGCACTTTCATGGTCGATGTACGATAGTCAGGTGACCTGTTGTTAGGCGCCCCTGTAGAGCTCCGTTTCTGATTAAATTGAACTTGTGGTACGGCAATGTTCATGTGGAGTGACGGCTAAAACGTTCGCCTATGGAATACACTTTTGTTTAGTGGGAGAGTTATTTGGCCACCGTAAAGGTGTTGGTGTTGTGGAACATTACACAGATCGCAGAAAAACTGATCACCGCCTCGTGACAGTGCTACCGTCGTTGAAACTCTTCGGAAATCGCCTTGAGTGAAGTTTTGACTTGCCCTTCACCTTACTTGAATCTCATTCCAGCAGAGCACGTATTGAATCAATTAGGACCGAAGGTTCCTGCACGACCTGTAACTTTTTTGAACTTTTTTTGAACAAATGTATGCGAGCATATATTAATCGATTTACTTGGGAGATAATGTTATGTAAAATTGTGTATACATTACTGCTTGTACGGAAGACGTTTTTTTACAGACCGACTAGCTAAGTTCTCATCTCACGCTACGGAGCCAGTTGAAGTTCACAATTTTGTGTTTGGATCTCTATTCACCGCCTTTTTCTTTCCTTTTACTTTATCGAGAATTTCATTCCTGTCTCACTGCTAGCGTTCTGTGCAACTGATAATTTAGTCCGAATTATGTTGATCACCAACATACCAGCGTTGTTTGGCATTTTACTCACTCTCTTTAAATCCCAGTTCACAAGAATCTAGGGGGTCGGATCAATGGATGGATAGCGGTGTGTTCCCGTCACCAATTCTAAACATGGATTCAGAAGCAGTCAGCCTCCCAGTACTTCCAGGTGACGCACAGCCAGATGAGCCTTTTGAAGAGACGGAGTTGGGTTCCATTGAGCAACAAAAACACGTGGTGCTTCACTTGTTGTCTCAACTGAAGCTTGGTATGGACTTGACAAAAGTGAGTGTTTTCTTCCAGACAGCGCCTTATCGTCTGTTGATGTTTGCTACGGTCTTCAATTTGAATAAAAATGTGTTATGGAGCGAAATATCTCGTGTTAAACCCATTGTAATCGGGTCCCTAGTTCAATCATGGTCGGTACGAGGCCATCCTTATCATTATCCGTCCTTCACTCGTTCATTTTTATCGTGAATGACAAACGTAGTCTCATTCTCGAAGTGATAATTTGTCCATGTTTATACTGTTTTCCCCTGAGTAGGAAAACAGTTTCACGTTCAGATGTGGCTGTTTTGGTTTCAAACGCTCCTCATGAAGTGTGTTCATCTCAAGGAGGTTTTCTCTGAAGGTAGGGTACCTGAATCGTAGTTTAAATATTGCTTGTGTGTGGGAGCGGAGTTCTACATGCAGAATCGTGAAGCGTGCACCAACCGATCCTGTAACGTGTCGGCCAATCCTGGCCTATAGCCTCCTGGAGCGGTGCTTATTACTTGTACCTCCAGTTGCCGCTACATTATCGTTCTTTGAAGAGACCCCACCAGTCTCCTGAAGCTGATGTTTAATCGCAGAACCTTGAAGAGACTACTTGGTTCATTTAGTGCACCGGTCCTTCTCTTTCCAGGTGCAATGAAACAAGAGCAACTTCTGTCTGTTTCAGGTTACATGTTCCGTCCATTTTGCTATGGGATCACTACGTAGCTTGTCACGTTTGACACTGATCAGTTTAATGTCCGTTTACGTGTTTGGGTTCATATAATTGGCTGGAATAAAGTACTGGAATTTGGGAATAGGCTGTGGTTGCGCAAAAACAGATTTTGCTGTGTACCGTGGCTAGCAGCACAAAACAGCTACCTCTTTGTTCACGCTGAACTTTCCTCTAGCACTACGACCGTTCATTGATGAATTACGACCCGTACATCAAGTTAGGTAAATAAAAGACCATAACAATATTTCCCACGATGTTGCGGATCAAAGTAGGTAGGGACTATTTTTAACTAGCTAGTTCTATGTGGTGGAGTTGTCGCAAACCTCAGGAAACACTTAGACCCTTACAACTTATTCTCCTTTGCGTATTTATGGGGGTGTACTGCAGAAAGCACCCCCACCGGAAAACCAACATCTAAAGGAATGGGAGGAATACAATGAAATTTAGGGAAAAAAGCATGACACGAACGGTGGACGTTGTTTCAGTCCGCTATTTACTAATTCAAAACCATCGGGACCGATGAATAGCCGGTCTGTTTGTCCGACTAGTCAACTATTCTCACATAGAACCTGATAAGTTCCAATCGGCTGGCCTTGGATTTAATTAGATATTTATAGCGAAGAACTTCATTTACCGTGGACTTCCGTCCTTGACATATGTCACTGATTGCTACCTGATTGGGCTCAACAGGATATAAAGGGGTCTTGTGGCGCAACTCTTCGAGATCCAACGATATCATCACTAAGGGCATGAAGTAGTTTTCGTTCTAAACGTTCATGTACATCTCATAAGCTGTACTTCTAGCGGACTGGACAGTCTCTTAGTTCGTCTGAAAAATTTCCCTCAGCGGTTGAAGGCAACTGAGATACGTTTAGGTACAGTTGTGTACATGACAAAGTTTGCGATGACGCTCCCCGGGACATTCTAAATCAGGTCAGAATTACAACCGGTTGCTTGATGAACAGTTGAGAACCTTTAGGTGTGCATTCATGTTTTCCTAAGTCATTTTTTTTCATATTTTTCATTATCTTTCGGAGAGATCAACTAGGAAAGATCACTTTTAGTCAGTCCTTCTTACAACAACCAACAATCGTTACAATCCAGCCTTCTTCAACGTATGTAGTTTCCACTGGGGACAGATACGTGAAAATACCACTTGATTCGGTGACCACTAAGTTGCCAGCCACAAAGGAGTAGACTGATTTTCTCCAAGTGGTTCTTTCGTTCAGGTCTACTGGTAATTTCGAATCAAGTTTTTCTGAAGCATTCCACGGACGGCTTCTTCCGACAAGTCATCAGCCTTCTGATATTGACTGCCTCTTGAGACATATTCATGATGCATCCTTGCATTAGTGAGACTGAGGCGCGTGTGGATGTCCGCCTTCGAGCTACAGGTATTGTTAATCACAAGTTAGCTGTTTCATAGCGTTTTTTTTCTGAATCTGATTAGTCCAGCAACTCGTAGTCTGATCAAAAAATTTCCAAGACCATACATATCGCGTAAACCTGTCTGGAGTTAATACGGCATTGGATACTCCGTACCCAAATCGATCGCTCATTGCGTTAGTTGGTCACGTGAGGGACAGGTTGTCTAGTTTGTTATCCTGACAGTCTCATTTTTTGCCAGACGTACCCTCCTTATAGGTGAATAACATTGTCACTTTCCAGAGCTTTTTCGATTTATTGCTCCGTTTCATGCATGTCATTAGACATTTCGGTCATTCAATCCTCTTAGATCGTTTTACCGACTTTCATTTTGGAGAAACGCTCAATACTTGAGATGTTCGCCGATTATCTTGCTCATCCGGACCTATTTGTCAAGTAAGTTTCCAGGATTCCCCCATTTGTCTGCCAATTCCTTCGTTAAACCGAATCAGAGGTATGATGGTTGTGAATCGCATTTTGCGTTTGCTACGAATCTGATTCAGCTAGTTTTTTCTCATCGTGCAATTTCGTCTTAAACCGATAGTGTGCATTAGTGCAGTGATTCTGGTAAGCGAGCTAGAGAAGACTGTTGTCCCGACTGTTTCACAATTGTGCACTGAAGACGGATGCATAGTCGGGGTTGATTTTCAGGGATTTGAGGATGTTAATGTTGGTGGGTGCTAATGGTTGCCGCCAGATATGAACGTATAGCAAGTCCAGTAACCAGTCTAAGCTTCGAAGCTATCCATATCTTGATATCAGCGGATTACTTTTAGTAATCTAGGATTTATATTCCTCACACAGGAAAGGATAACTCATAATCAGAACCCTCTGTAAGAACAATAGACATCGAATGGGTTGGAACCCGAAAAAAATCATAAAATCAAGAGATTCCCGAACATTTAAGCAAATGTGTGACGTATGAATGAAATGAAATCGTCCAGCTGTAACACCCGTTCAGTGTTCAACTGCCATGCCAACCGAAGAAAGCACCAGGGCTGGGATACTCACAGGTTGCACAAGCCTGGACAGGAGAAGTTGAGAGGCAGGAGCCGGGTTCGAACCACGGATCTCCCGGTCAGTAAGTCCGTGCTCTAACCACTAAGCCATCTCGTCCCCCTGACGTATGAATAAAACGCCATGGAGATTGGCAGACGAACGTCAACCACAGTCTAAAAATTGGCTTGTCATAGAATTTTAGAAAACAAGCAGGACAAGAATTCCAATGGTAAGCAGTGCTAGAGAAAATAGGAAAGAACGTACATCTGTTCGCCCGCGGGGATCGAAGCTTGATTTGGGTCACTAGAGGAGTATAGGTGAGTCTGGTGACTGAATGATTGTTGGGCGAGTGTGTTTGAATATTCAGCCTAGTAGCAGCAGCAAGCCAGTAGATGTGGGCAGGGTAGCACCCTATGGTAAGAGAACGGTTGCAGATGGGCATCAGTGATACGCACAACTTTTCGCTGAATACTACTGCCCAGGAGTGAAGGAGGGCCATCCCAAACACGAACCAGAGCGGGTCTGGAACCCACACAGGGGAGGTTGCTGGGAGAGTTAGAACTAACTGCAAAAACCAAAAGGGAAACCCGGTTTTCTCGCTTTCACAAAAAGTTGTTCAAAAGGAGTCAGGTTGGACGCAATAAAAAGTGGAATGTTGACGAGAGAAAAGCTAATTTTTTTGTAGATATAATGGGAATGAAAGTACTTGTGTTCAGCGAATTTTGGGAAATGCTGGCTCCTTGAGGGTGCAATTTCAGAATTTCCCTGGAGTCAGTAGTAGGAGAATAGGAGAGAAACCAGATTGCTTTTCAATTATCGTGTAAGTATCGACTTCCAGCAAGTCATTTGAACGGCTGATGGGTCCTGCGAATGACGAACGTATCCCTCATGTTGTGAATGACTTAGAATGATGTGCACTGATACGGTCCGGCGAGATGGAGGAAGGGGATGGGAATGCTAGCCTTTGCTTGTCTATTTCTTTCGTCTAACTACACGAAGATGCGTTCAAACCACCCCGAGATAAAGGAATAGGCTGCTTTATGAAAATGGGAGGATTCCGTCATAAAGAATTTCCGTGTGGTCTTCGACGAAAGCCGTTACTAGAGGTGCAACTGTCCTATGCATAGACCTGGCTTTTTTCATACTCTCTGAATCAGAAGACGAGTAGCATCGTGAATTACGATAGGACGGTATTGTATTAGGGACGGTAAAAGTTAAGTTTGTGGACGTCAGAAAGACTGATTGATGCAGGTGAGCCAGACTGAAGTTACTCCGTGTATGAGTAAAGCCCAATCCTGTAATGACCAGATGAGAGCACAAACCCACTCAGTTTTAAGAGGATTTAGGCAGACGCTATAGTCTCAAACTCCAAATTCAGTGTGCTGGGAGCAGACTTTGTTCCGCTACGTTGCTGTCTACTGGAATTGTCTTCCTTCAATGATCGGGTCGTCTTAAGCACATTGGCTACATGTTTCACGCAGCTTGTCTTGGTTTCATTTATCTTACAAAACGTTAGAATCTTACGGTCTGGGCGTCCATTGATCACTCGGTTATTTACATCAACCACTTTCCTCCTTTGCAGCATCAATCGTGGTGAAGATCCTGAAGCGCGAATGATAGCTTTTGTACAGTGGTATCTCACAGCCTTCCATGCTGGACGAAAAGTGAGTTGTGGCTGATTTTCGTGAACGCAAACATGAACGGTCTTGGTAGTGTATATCCATTATCCCTTCATGGATGCGTGCTGTTTAGTCTACTCTGTTCTCGGGGGCGAGATGGCTCAAGTGGTTAGAGCGCGAATTTACTGACCGGAAGGTCCGTGGTTCGAACCCGACCTGTGCCTCTGGACGTACCCTACCAAGACTTTCGCGACCTGTCAGTATCCTAGCCCTCGTGGTCCCTTCGGATAGCGTTATTTACATCAACCACTTTCCTCCTTTGCAGCATCAATCGTGGTGAAGATCCTGAAGCGCGAATGATAGCTTTTGTACAGTGGTATCTCACAGCCTTCCATGCTGGACGAAAAGTGAGTTGTGGCTGATTTTCGTGAACGCAAACATGAACGGTCTTGGTAGTGTATATCCATTATCCCTTCATGGATGCGTGCTGTTTAGTCTACTCTGTTCTCGGGGGCGAGATGGCTCAAGTGGTTAGAGCGCGAATTTACTGACCGGAAGGTCCGTGGTTCGAACCCGACCTGTGCCTCTCGACTTACCCTGCCTAGACTTGGGCGACCTGTCAGTATCCTAGCCCTCGTGCTTCCTTCGGATAGCATGGTAGCTAGGCGCCGGATGGGTGTTGCAGTTGAACGATCATCTTCTCTGTTCTCATAGTTGTTCTGCTGATTCCGAAACAGCGCCTACACAACAAACAGAAGGCATTCGCCGTTTACCCACTCGACAGACTTTTCACCATGCCCCTGTCCCTTTAGTCAGCGCTGCATCCTCGCAATAAGTATTAGTGAAGCTTTGAACAAGACAGGACTCAGGTCGTCTCAACTGAAATTTTCCAGCAGATTGTGGCCATATTGTTGTCAAATTACCTCGGGCCTTTGAATGTGCCAGCACATAGTTTGAATGTCTTACTCCGAGTACGGCGCCGCTTCTTGGGAAGTAATACATCGTTTTCAGAATCGATCCCAGTGACCTGTCGCGAAAGATGGAGGCGTGTCTACCCATATCACAACCTTGATATTTTCTCACAAAGCCCGATACCATTTTGGTCCATGGTTCGAAGCCGACATTTGGCACTCGACTACCCCTGTCTAGGCTTGGGCAACCTGGCAGTATCCCAGCCCTCGTGCTTCCTCCGGGTGGCATGGCAGCTAGGCACCGGAAGGGTGCTACAGCTGAGCGATTTCTTCTGCCTTGCCCATGTAACTCAGCAGTTTTTTTTTTGGATGGTTTCGATTCACAGACAGTTGGTTTTGCCAACCGTTTCGATGTGTTTCCCACCCGAAAGGAGGTGCTTCCAAGCACGGAACATCCTGACTCTGGACCCAAAACTTCACCGTAAAAACTATCATCCGGGATGGTCTTTTCGATAAACTGTTCGTGATTGGAGGATATGGTCACGCCATGAAGGCTTGTAGAATGACGTAAACCATCCTTCCATGTGACCTTAGGAGGCAGCCAACAATCCAAGTTAACAAGGCTTGTGTCTCCTTCGTGAGTTGTGCATGCCTATTATCGCCCATTGTCTCGTAGTGGATTTCGGGACACAGTAAACATTGACAACGCACGATTTACCTCAAAGAAATGGTCGCGACAGGCCCGGTCGTTGTGGGTACAAATCGCCTTCCTGTATCGGGTCAATGTAACCCTTTCTGGCTAGAGATGCTTCGAAATGTGGCTGCAAAGTGAAAATAATGACTTTCGTGCTATCCAGACTGTTAGACTGTGTGTTTGTTTTGAGCGCCTCGTATATTTTTGTGGGGCTGACATCAAATCTACCTTCTTTACATTCAGGACTTTCTTCGAACAATTGGACATCACCGTACGATTGCACAACTGTTGATGGTGATGATGACTATGTAGGGTTATTATACGGGCATTTTCGAAAACGGACTTGATAACCAGTATTATATATATATATATATATATATATATATATATATAT